GGACGCTACGAAATTTAACAACTTCCACAGCCAGTGGGTAATACGTGGACATGAAAATAGAAAAGATAAGTACACGGATATCTTGCAAGTACTTACAAATAAATTAGATATAGAAGTTACTAATTTATAATAGTCCTTATTGTAGTCATTCATTCTAGATTCAACTATGACCATAGACAAAAATATTCCTTTTGATGTCAATTCTATATAATTTCCGATTACTAAAAGCAAGCATGACACTTTTTTATTACAAAATAGAGTATAGACGTAGATTTTTTTCTTTATGATTTCAGTCTCAAATCTTTTTACCAAAGATAAACTAGAGATGTGCACAATCAGTATGAAATACTTTCAAGGCCTTCAATAATATGCACAATTCCTAAAACAACGTGTTTCGACATAGGGTTATTTTGCTTTTAGTGTTCAACATTAATCATCAGCCCTACCACATGGATGGAGTCAGATAGGGAAAAGGGGCATTGCCCCCCAATCCCCCCCCCCTGGTGGAAGTAAATAACTGCAAATGCAGCCGGGAGCAATGGCGGTCCGAAACACGGAGGAGCTCGATACAAAAAAAAATTTGGTAACGAATCCTATGACCGACCCCTGCGAAGGTTGCTTAATCTCTGCATCACAGACCGACCGTGCTAACCACCTCGTTGATCGAGCTTGTTTATATAATTATTTGCATATATGAATTGTACGTGTATTTAACCCTGAATGTACACTATCATAATGGAAGAACGTCACAGATGTTAAAAAAAAATATTTGTCGTCCCTTTCGCACACAGTATATTCCAAAGCACATGTAATAAACTTACACTATACATTTACAGCAGATATATCATACAAATATAAATATTTTAATGTAAAACACTTTTGGCATATCTAGCACACCGTTTAGCCCAACCACACGATTGGGGTTTGCGTATTTATGTTTTGTGACATTCCCTGTCATACATCGCCCACGGGTTCTGTGCCCAGAATCGGAGCGTGATGACAAACTTTTTTTTTTTATAAGAATAAAATGAAAATGCTTATAACCTTTTCAAGAGGTTTTCAGTACCAAATATACTAATGAAGCGGTCATCGTAAGACTTCATCCAGTTTAGAATCATCTTAACAAATGAATGTCAACCTTATCTCATTGTCATAGAGTAGAATAACCTTTGTTTAATTACATACTATACAATCATTAGAATTTACTTTGTTATGAGAGACATGACCCAAATTTCACCATCGCTCCTACACACAAAAATATAGATATTAGATTCTTATTAATACATGATGATATAACTTATATTTACTTGTAATTCTTAAACAAATGGATTAGGAAGGAGGTTAAATTAAGTTGAATTTAAAATTAGTTTTATACAATATTTATTACATTTACTCTAAGATAAGAGACATTTTACTCACGTTTCTAAATCGCGCGGGTTCCGTACATTTACCACATTTGCAACTTAAATGCCTGTAAATTTTCATTTCCATTCATTCATTTCATTCACTGAACGAATTAAAAAATTGAATAAATTCAGATTTTATTCGATTCAAGCAATGGTGAAATACAGACCACATACACCCATAATTTGAGTAGTCATACGACCACGATCCTACTTGCCTGGTGATTATTTTTAAAACATTTACCAAGAATTATATTCTATATAAACTGTTCCCTTTCTGCTTTCAACGTTCATTATTTTTTTCCTCCCCTCCTCCGAATCCCTCTTGGTCGCAGTCATCCGAATACTCTAATTAAATCGTTTCCAGATTTCTAATTATCGTAGAAAATTTGGCAAAACATATAAATATATTATCACTATCGCTATAGTTAGTGACTTATTAATTGTATTGAATATTTTCCCTACACACAATTACTAGGTGTATTTAAATAAACCTTAGCATAATATGTGATTGAATGAAATTAGTCTGGCCAGCTATAAAATGAAATATTATAGTTAATTATAAAACATGTCATCTTCATAAAAATAAATAATTGTATCCGTTTAATAGCCAATTTATCGAAAAATAATTAGTAATAATACAACAATATGCGTCATGCTCATAACTTTTCGAATAACGTAAAATAAATGCCATTGATAAACCGAATATTCATACAAATAAAATAGAATACGTAGTATATCAGGTAGACATCAAAAACATTTGACGTCGATTTATAAATATATCTATAAAAATAGGGGCTTAAGCATTACATTCGCTTACACATAATATATTTGTATACTTAAGGGGGTTTACGAGTATAGCATATTACTTCACGAAGTTGGTTTTCTATTAAACTTGTTACTTCTAAAAGTTCAAAATGCTGAAGAGTGTTTATGATGTTTCACTAAATATATATTTAAGTGTAAAATTACTGTATACGGATGGATAAGTGTGCACTTTTTATTTAATAATGCGGACATTTTATTTGGTATAGTTTCTTTTTTATATATTATTTACATAGGAGTCGTCTGTAGCAAGAGTTATAGTCTTGATATAGTGATTCTTCTACAACCATTACAACACCGTCTCATATACCCTACGTGCGTTAATATTTCTACAAACGACACCCTACACGATCAAAAGATCATACACAAACGGTGCCATCAATTTTAAGACTGCAAAACTGGGACAAGCATGATCCTATGACACACAAAATGATGACACCTTTAATTTGATATATAATATCCAGTATCAGTTACAACGTTAACCAGTTCCAACTTCGCAAATTATAAAAAACATTAAGTTTATAAACATATGTACAATATTATAATATACATCTCCACCTAACGTTAGTCAATGGAAATCAAACTTTATTGGTCGGCAATAGAGTTTGTTTTCAATATACATGGCAGGTGTGAAGAGTTCAAGCCGTACTTCGCGGCGTTTAAAATTAAATTCAATTAACAAAAAAAACACGAAATGCATTTTTCGATATTCTATAGAAAAATCATTCGATTATTGACAATAAAATGTATAATTTTATATTTAATATATATTTTTGCTCACACTCATCGTTTAATAAAATAGCCTTTAAACGAGTTTAAAAACTCACATTTTATTTAACGTTTGGGTTCGTTAATGTACACACTAAACTAAGCAAAAGCGCTGGACAAAATAGCTAATATCAGAAGTGACAAAATTTGAACTACGATATAACACTAATTAATACTTTAAATGAAAATTATTTACCAGATTTTTAATGTCATGAAAATTAAAAACATTGTTTGAAAAACAATATATAACATATTGTGTTTCATTAAATAATTATTACCATAAACTGCCAAGAAAAACTAGTGAAAAATAAACATAAAATAGGACAGACCCGTTAAAAGTTATTTTATTAAATGAAACTGTATGTAAATATTACATGCATAATAAATTCGGACAGTGGAGAATCTACAAATTAAAAAGGAAAATATAATGGGCGAAAAAAATCTTATTAGACAATTTAGGGCTTATTGTTGGGTTTGGATAAAATAAATAAATAGTCCTGATTATAAGTAACGCCGTGTGGTCCCCCTCGTCTCATATCACTATCTTTTGACACGCCTAAGCATTATTTAACCTTCAACGAAAAGTAAAGACACTCACACGTTAAAAATTAATTAAATATAAAATCCTTACCTATTTAATATAAGGACAAATTTTATAGGTTTTTATTATTAATCATTACAAAATAAGCCTTGAATAAAATACGTTTAAAATAATGCAAATTAAAACTTCTATTTACACGATATAGTATTATTGAGTATCTTAAGATGGATCTATTTTAAACACTTTTTAACTGTCGCTGTGTTAACGTACCTAATACAACTATTCACATTAACAATAATATACATATATATTTTTTATATTGAAAACTTTATAGAAACATACCGATTAAATACACAAATCAATCAATTAATTTAATTAAATCACATACGATAAATGATATGTGAATATAATTCCGAATGTTGGGTAATTTAACTGTCTGTTTCTATATAGCCTTTTCGAAATATGTAGAAAATGAAGCCGACGAGACTACATAAAAAAGCAAACAAAATAAAGTAGCTCTTATTTTTTAAATTAAATTTAACTCGTTTCTTTCTTATAAACAAAGCAAACAATTAATTTTAAACCTATAAGAGCCAACAGTAATGTTCAAAATCCGATAGCAAAAATTTGACATATCATTGTAACGTAATATGCTGTGTACTACAAAACAAACAAATAATTTTTTTGTCCTCACGCGAGAAAGAAAAGGCGAGATATATTCATTCCTTGTTTTAAGTCAATTTGTTAATTTTCTATATGGTCTCGTTGGCTAAATTATGATACACATACACACACATATTCTATAGTAATGTTTTAATTGACTGTTCACTCTAGTAGGAAATCTAATGGAGATCAAGCGCTAATCACTAAAAAGTACTCTTTTGTCCGATTTCCATATAGCGTAGGCCTGTCGCGGGAAATATGTATATAAAAATTATAAAAGATGTATTGTAAAATATACTAAATCTCTATGATTAAAAAAAAATAAACCTTGTAGGGGAATATAGAAAATTATACACTAATTTGAATAAAGGAGAGCATTTGAAATAATTGCTAGTGATCGCCTCACTCGACTGTTCAACTATTCATTTGGGCAATCTAAAATTGGAAAAGAGATAAAACAGATAACATATTAGATTTGACGCTCTGCAAGCCGCAGATTAAACTGAAGCACATCGAATCCGCAAAGAAAATAAAAATACATTCGCGCATCAAGAAAGTTCCATTTCGATAAACATTGAAAACAAACGAGGAAAGTCACCCAAAAGACGGCTGAATAAAATTAATTCCGCTACTTAAAAGTAAAATAAAATTGCGCTACACAGCTTCATCTCCAAATAAAATAAGTATTTGGGCTTAGGCTAACGGTTGCGCACGTTAGGTACACAATGTGTTGGGTCGCGTCACCGCCGAATGATCGTTGTGCGTGTACGCAGGTCGCATCATACAAGACATCGATATTTCTAGTCGCCCGCGCCGATTCCGGCAGCGCTGCGTCTCCTACCGAATACAAAAAATATACATATTTATTATTTATTTAAACTTTTTGCACACAGTACAAATTAGAACACACAACTTGTAATTGAAAAAAGTTTAAATTTAAAAATTGTGTATGTACGAGTATTTCATGCATTTGTCATTACTGTAACATTTAGCGGGAAAGTTGAAACTTGTCTGTGTTACATTTTGCACGAATAATTATTTGTTACCTGTCGGCAGCCATGAGTGCTTGGTGGGCGTCGCGTTGTGCCGACACCTGAACTAACTCCGCCACAGTGGCCGCTTGCTGCTCAGCTGCCAAACGAAATCCTTGGTTTATAAACATATTACTGACACACATAACTTTCTTATTACTAACTAGGTGTTTTTCCAAGATCGCCCCCGCAGTTTCGAAGCCAATATTCAATGAAACAAACAAACAATTCTATCTATCTCTTTGCAGTAATTTGACTCTATGTATTTGCTTTTTCTGAATTATAATAAATCAAATGTCTATACTTCTGTAACATCACCAGCCCTTTTACGTCCCCACTGCAGGGGCTCAGGCCTTCCTTATGGATGGTTAAGGAGGCTGGGCCATGACCCTCCACGCTGGCCCAATGCGGATTGGAGGGTATTAACGACTGCAAATGCAGCCGGGACCAACGGTTTAACGTGCCTTCCGAAGCACGGACTAGCTCGAGATAATAATTTTTTGGTCACCCATCCCGTGACCGACCCTTGCGAAAGTTGCTTAACGACAACGATCGCGGGCCGCGGCGCTTATCCACTACGCCACCTAGCTAGCTATACTTCTATAACAACATTAAGAATTCGCGAGAAAAACGTCAGTTGAACGTTGATCATAGAGACAAAAAGAAAGAGAACGTTACTATTTGATTTACTACCTATGGGTCCCTCCAAAAAAAAATCGGTAAACGGTGTAAAAAATAATTTTCACCATGACTGATAAATATATTATACAATTTTTTTGTTGTTGTTAATAAAGATTTTCCAACAATTATTTGTAATGACATGTAATGGTTTATTATGATAATGATGCTAATAATAAATTAATACATACATGCGACAAGCAATCGGAAAATAATTAATTTTATTACAGGTAAATGTTACAGCTAACACTAATATACATATAATGACATGAATATGAATATAAAATGTTGCACTTACCTTAAAACAGGCTGTGATTTATTTCTGATTTAAAAATTGACGATTGATGGAAGACATCCAGACTCATGCTAGTATACGTTTATATTGTAAACTTACCATTATACAGAGTGTCCCAATAAATAGTGTCGAGCGAAGGTCCAGAGGTAGAGCACCTGGGGTACCCGAGTCACCTCCATGTATGTTCCGCGATTATTCATAATTTTCAAATTAATATCATTATTATTACAACAGAAACTTAAAAAAAATATTTAGAAAGATAGTCTTTCTACTTTTTTCTCTTTGCTGGAGAATCATCTTAAATTGTACTTTTATGTATGAAATAATTAGCTTCGTAACTTGAATGAAAATCATGAAATTGTTCATGTAAAAGTCAAAATTCACGGTTGGTGAATAATTACTTAGAAATTCTACTTTAAATTAAAATATAAACAGGTGACTTCATGGTATCTGAGTAAGTCTCAAAAGATTCCAGACTCTCTGCTTTCATAAAAAAAAGTACTTGATGGGCTACATAGACAGTATATATAGACAATGAGGTGAAATATTCTTGAAATTAGCTAAATTGCTATCGCACTGAAACTTGGCCTGAACATCACATGATTCTAAGAGTGCATAACACTACCTCTGTACCTTTCCCAGGAGGTCCTCCCTTCTTAGTCCTCCCCAGGAGGTGCTCTACCTCTGGACCTTCGCTTAACACTATTCATTGGGGCATCTGTATATAAATAGCATTTTAAATATAATGCTGCTGCAAACATCCAATGATATTTGTCACTCACTTTGCTAACTAGATGAATTAAAAATTGGATTGTTTTCTGTGACTTTAAATGTATTTCCTTATAAATTAAAATATGATTCCAAGATAACATTCGTAGGAATTGATTATAGAAACTATAATAGGTAACAAAAACACAAAATCGCACGTGTCAACTCTCATAGAGTTGGGTTTTTATATATATACACAAGGTTATTTATAAGATACAAGCAACTTTCGCAGGACAAGATAGCTGACATATTAAATTACAAATCTCTATCTAAGAGTGTAACCGTTACTCAAAATAATGAAAAAAAATAAAATTGTGTATTGCCATGCCATTTATAAGTCTTACACCCAGTTGCACCAACGTCTATTAATTTGTAACGTAGTTTTATAAGATAATAAGTCCTCGCAACTTTAAAGGAATCGGTTTGATATTTGATGAACTTTTTCATTCCCCTACTGTACATAGCTAAAATATATTATTTCAAAAATTTACATTATTTTAAAGCGACATTAGCGATACAAATTTTCAATTTGGTACATTAATTGAAGCTTAAAGTCGCCATCAAACCATAATGGACGATACCTGATCAAAAATATGTCATTGTAAAGAAGATCCATTTTATCTGGGCAATCAAACCCGTATATTGATTTAACTACGCAAAACGATAAAAATATCTTTGCAACCTATATTCAGATTTAACTACTAACTAACAACTCTATTTCGACTAGATTGGAGGCTTCGATAATTTTGACGCTAATTTTTTTATGAATTAGTCATGAGCGTATTTTTTATGACGTTAGCTATTTTGCCTTGGTGATATTACTTGTATTTTAAAACTAACCCCATTTATAAACATCACGCGAAAAGACTCACTATAATTTTCGCTCTATTAATTTGAATTTAAAACCACAAAAACGATGGAAATTACATTAACTCGATAAGGGAATACACAAACGTCATATTACATCATCACATTAAAAACTCTATTCCAATTTTCAATCCACGAGTTTGCCACTTAAACAAATTACCTGACAGGGGGCGAGTAAGACGACGCTCGAGACGCGCAAGACGACGGGCACTAGGCCCCTCAAGGTCCCGGTTTCTGTCCCGCTCCCGGTCTCTGTCCCGGTCCCGGTCCCTGTCCCTGTCCCGGCGCTGCGCCACTAGTCGTGCCCACCGCGCCTCGAACCACAACTGCATGGCGTCACGCTCCTCCGCATCGGCACCGCTCGCCCCTAACACACCACATGCCATACCTCTATGCCTCGATAGAAGCGACACTTCTATAGCGAACGCAAAATGCAAGCTTTCAGCACGATGCTTTTCACAAATATTAAGTTCATACGCATGATAACGTGGTAATGAACTATGCTAATTAAAGTAATGACAACTGTTTAAGCTTAATCATAATGAATGATTATATTATAACACGAAATACAGACGTGGAATAGTTATAGTGCTGTTTGGGTGAATGCAGTCTAAGTATTACGATTGCATGCAAATGGTAAAAGTGCACTGTCGATAACTTGTAAGTACATCTATTCTATGAATAGTAGATACATATTGTATAAAAATATATAAACAACTCGATTTCATATTAAGACACATTCAAGCATCCATTTATTTTATATTTTATGCGGCGGTTCTATCACTTTATTTATATTATATCCTAAGTCTACATCATTCTATTTATAAAAACAAGATACTATATATGATACATCTATAAAAAGCGGTATAATTTTGTTGTGGTTACTGATAACGGGACAAACGCTCCAAAAGCGGGACTATTCCACCTAAAGTGTGTTCGCGGGAACACCTTCAATAGCCCATGAGCACAAGTTATTTTATTCGGTCGCCGATCCTATCGTTTCTATTGGTAATTTATTTTGTCCAGACATAGGATTCCCCACTAAGAAGTAAACCACTCACCTTAACACCGACAGCTTCAGGAGATAATGGGTTGATCACCGATCGACTGGCCAAAGTTCACAGTAGTGCACTGGTTTCCAAATAAACTGCAATCGTCTTATGTATGGCGAAAACTGTTCTTTGCAATGTTTATTCACAATTAAACACAATATAATAAAAATAATCCGATATATCACACCGAAAACCGTTAATTTCAACAACAATAATTTTATCACACTCTCATGTATGTTTCGCGCCACCGAACCTTCGAGAGTCTTTTTTTTTTTTTTTACTGGCCGCGGCATCCGTCGCCGTTGGGTCGTGGATTTGTAGTTTACCCACATATTGAGAAATACTATGCCTGAACAAAGTGTGACATGAGACTGGCGTTCGACCACACGTCGTTGACAAAAGTACGTATCGTACTACGCCAATTTACGTGTCGTTCTGATTTCTGCGTATACTGATAATAGGAAGACCTGTAACATTATTGTTTACCTGGTAATCTGTGTTGTTGCCTACGTTCGACAGGCGGACAGTACCCGGCGGGCGGGGGCGGCACGGGCGGTGCCTCCTGTAACGCGCCCGTAGATTTATGCGCGGCCACCGATCTCTGCGGACTCTCCTGTGCAATACAATCATCGTCTCACAAATTTAAAGAGAAAAATGGTTTGTTTCAACAGACTTTTATCTTGAAACAAGTTAATTCATGAAGGTAAACTACAACAATCTATTTTGAACTCAACTATTATATTATCTGTATCTGGTACAATTTTACATGCAAAAAAGTTTAAATAATATATGATATATGCGTAAAATCAATAGGCTTTTTAAGCTCAAATATATTTTCTCTATTTATATATTAATTTATACATTTCTAATAAAATTAATCTTTTCAGTTTCTGTACCATACAAGAATAATTAAATTCCATTTTCACTTGAAGGTATTTGTGATAATTGCAGTTTCGTGAAACAAAACCATAGGGAAAATTTAAATTACCTAAACTGCTTATAGAGTTGTTGACTATTAAAATAAAACCAAATTTTTATGAAAATTAATAGTTTTCATCGCCAAAAAAATCCAATGTTCTTCATTACTCTGAAATATTGAATTTTAACGTTAAGTAACAGTCCAAATACCTATTCTCCTCACTACATCCTGTTAATTTTAACACAAATTTTTTGTGTAATATATTGGGTGGCAACATTATCTACATGATTATTTAATATGAGAAAATAATTGCATACGATTTTATGATTAAATATTCAAAAATTAGTAAATATTTATTAATTGAAAATTAAAATTCTAAAATTTTTATTTAAGAAGAATGATTATTGCAATGGCCTAAAAAGTCATTTAACAATAATAAAATGTACTTATATCGTTTCCTTGTACACACAGCAGCTAAACAAAATGTCAGTTTACTACAAGGCCAAAGTAAATTTTAAACTTAATATCAAATCGAATTGAGAAAGGCCTTTTGTAGTAGATTCCTACTGTAGATTGTGCCCACACCAAAACATACCATTACCAATAAAAGTTATCTTTAACTGGAAAAGTTTTATGGTTAGTCATCAGCAATTTTACGTCACCACATTTCATCTAGAACGGAAAAATATTCTTTCGTCATGGTAAAAAAAATATACATTAACAATTAATTTAGATTTATTTCCATAATTACGAGTCAAACTTTCAAAAGATTTGATTTCAATGCAATAATTTTTCAAAGTATCTTCACAATTATCTCGAATTTTATCAGATACTATAACCCCAAATCACAAATCTCTCTGGCCTTCAGATGAAAGGATATTAAGATAAAAACTAATTTAAATTATCACTAATAATGGGTAGACGCGACCTTTATATAAAAACACTTGAAAGGTCATCAATATACGGAAAGTGGACATAATTCTTTGTCATTGTAGTAACCTACTGTGCTGCTGTGTGTACCTAATCAAACCTAAATTAAGTAAAGCTAAAGCCAAATTGACAGCCAATATAAGCGCTTAAAAATATTATTTTATATTAATACATAGATACAAACACCATTTAAGATAACAAACCTGAATAACGATAGATAGAATACGAAGCTTTAGTAAATAATCAGAGCAAGATCAACTGAGCAGCTGCGAAGATAACACATATAGTATTTGTTAATATTTATTATCGCAAAAAATCCCTAAACTCTGAAATGTTTCTTGTAAAATTATTTTTGTTAGACCAATTCCAACCGCATGCTGCTCTTCACTGGTTTTCTGGCGAATTGCACTGTCTGTTAATCATTGAGAATATAATAGAAACAAATTTACTTAATTAAATTTGTTTACAGTACTAAACATGCGTGATCCCGTTCTAAATTCATAGACAATAAACTATAGAGAAGAAGTGATAAATGATATCTTATACATCACTGGAAAGAGACCTATGAGTTATATACCAAAACGACAAAATAAGTATTGTTTCATTACTAGTTTATGAAAATAAAAATTACTGTGAATTATGAATGAACAAAATGAATCTATTTATAACTAGTGATGAGACAATGCGAACGATGTCGATGTTGTACGACAGCAAAGCAACGGACCGTGCGAGCGAGACAACGTACAATTAGCGGGTGTTGGAGCGAGATAGCATGCGACTCACGACACTGTACTGAGACATTTGCTTACGTGGCTCGAGACCGACGGCTCCGACGCCCACTGTAATAAGCAACCGTTGTTAGTCTACCGGGTGTCCGAACTACTACAAACAAATTTTGTACACACAATCCACCCTGTCCCGAAATTTAAAATGCCGAATCGTGGACACCTTAAAAAATTAGGTACTATACAACCATTCCCGTAGTTATTATCACACTACTGTTCAATGTGCCTTCAAATTATTAAGGTTAATATTCATGTTAACCACTCCCAAATAATCTTCAAAAACGTGAGTTAACAACCCAACTTTAACGCTTAATCAAAATTATATAATGAGTTTCAAAATGATTTTGTGTTCTCGTCATATAAAAGAACGTAATATTGATAATCATGGGTCATGTAACTATATTTATGTACATCATTCACATGAACGAGTGTGCTTTCAATATATACTTTATGAAAAGTAATAATAAAGTTGCAATGGCAGCTATTCAAACATTGTGCAATAAATGCAAAATGATCTTGTAACATTACATAGATGATCAGTTTAAAAAAACGTGTGAATGTTATAATGTATAGATATGAAAGATTACCTTTTGTCGGGGTCCTAGCCGTTTGTTGAGGTAATTGGATATGCTCTTCATAATACTTTTGCTTCGCCTCTCTCTCGCTAGTTCAGGATCAGAAAAGGAAGGCGTGACAGGCAGAGACATCACGGGGGGCGCAGGACGAGGCGGCGGTGGGGGAGGCGGAGGTGTGGGGAGCGAAGGGGGAGGCGGAACAGGGGGCGGAACATTCGAGATGGGCGAAGCGCGAGCTTTCCTCGTAGACTTTCTGCTAACACGTGGTCCACTGCCAAGTCTCTCTAGAACCAAGCGTCTCACAACCTCCGTCTGCTCTTCTCTCTCCCTCTTCAACTCTCGTACTTTATTGGTGGTGTCTTTCAAGGGCGTAGGACTTACAGGAGATATTGAGCCCGAACTCAAATTCAACGACATCGATAACTCAACACTTCGACTAGGCGAGTCTGTGCTTCTAGAATTCGAGCGATTGAACGTTTCGCTCGCTGACCGGCAAATCGCCGGTGAATACAGCCTTATAGAGGCTGGACTAGAAAATAAAGGCGGTGTGTTTGAAACAGTATACATTCTAGAAATGGTTTTTGGGGTTTCAGGTACAACAGACTGAGACATTGTATCCGATTCGCTAGACTGGCGACAAACGTCCAACGGCGTAGCCACCGTATTGTCGAGAGGAGGAGAGGATTCCGATAAACTGGGCGATCCTAATTCAAATTTATTACTCGTCTCCGGCTGCATCATGATTTCAGGATCCTTTTTCGTCGGGGAGTCGCACTTCGGCGTACTATCGCCGATCGATTTGTCGCTCGTCTCAATCTCTATCGATTTCAACAGTTGCGGTGATTTCAGTTCGTCTGGCGGTGTTTCGTCTGTTTTGTTATCGCATAATTCTTTTTCTTTTATTGGCGTTTCGAGGTCATCTCGAGGCCCACTAGCTTCGTGGCTAGCAGGTTTAAACACTGTTTCGGAGAAGCTCCTCTCTATGAAGTTGATGGAGCGGTCGTTGCCTAGTGAATAAGGGTCGGGATCGGGGTCAGGGTCAAGGTCATCATCGACCAATTCCATGTAGCCCTCATTGCGGGGCGTCGGTGGGGCCTCTATAGAGGGGTCCTGTTCGCCTTCATCGGCGAATTCGAAGTTTTCGAATGCGTTCGAGTAAACTATAGGCGGCGGGCTAGTTCGCCCGCAAACGTGTGACGAGATCGCAGATATGTTTTTGGCATCGTGTATCAATTTCGGCCCACTAAGTGTTCTGGGGTTCTTATTTCTTTTTCTGTCTTCTCTGTCGTCTAAGCCGCAATCGTCTAGGACTGCACTTTCTGCCGCCCAATCGGACAATTCTGTTTCAGTGAGCGCAAGAGTGGTCGCATCTCGGCACGATTCTGACGACTCCGATTCGACGGCGACCACTGTCGGACCGGTGACAGTAGCACTCGACGCCTTCTCCTCGTTATTCTCTGTACTGCTATCAATTAACATGAGACTGTCGAGCTGTATCAGTTCCCCGACTTCATCGTGCACCTCTACTCTCGGAACGGATTGATTCGGTGCAGTCTCAGTATGCGACGAGTCGTCATCGGAGAGAGAGTCCGATTCCAAATCTGGCTCAGGATCTTTCCTCTCCTCATTGATAGGTTCGTCCCGCCAATCTTTTTTACAGAGCGGAGAGTCACCCTTAGTTAGCAAATCGACCGGAGCGTCCGTGCACAAGTTCTGTATTATATCCGGCATCGGTTTCGACTTTTCATCGGTGGAGAAGTTGAACGTGAGTATCGGCTTCTGTGGTTGCGGCGACGGCGTTGGAGCGGGATGGAGCATTTTCTGAAACTCTGTGATGGTCGATCGAAAGGCTTCAAGTTTGGTATCGATTTGGGAGGTGGAATCGGATTTCCTCACCGCGGGCGGGGAGGGCTCGCCGAGGAGGTATTTGCGTTTTAGTTCGAGCGCGCGTTTCGTTGCGATCCCCCCAGCGGAGCGAGTTCTACTCAACGGATTGGGCAGTTGCGGGGGCGGGGGTGGGGGCGGCTCGGTAACCAATATCTCGGGGGGCGGGGCGGGGGGCAGCGGGTGGGGCTCGTCGCGAGCAAACTCGCTATCTGTTGACACCTCCGTCGCTGATGATACCGATGACGTCTCGCTCTCTTCCTCCGACTCCACCTGTACGTAACACAGTTCCAGTACATGCACATAGCCAAGCTTCAATTTGCAAAAATGACATTTGAACGCTTTAATAATAGAAATGTAACTATTTTGCCATCATATTTTAAAATCGGACACAATTTTAAATGCATTGTACAAGTAGCTGCCTACTTAATAATAAATCAGTACTTATATTATAACAATGAAAACAATCTTGGGAACTCTTTCATATCATAGCCTATGAACACGCACAATTTCTCATGTATGCCGATGATATCAAAATATTAATGGAGCCAATGCGATAGTTTAAATTTGCGGGATTATTTACTGAACATGTCTATATATAATGCTAGAAATCGATAAAGCAAACTGTATTAGGGATCTTGGGGTTATATTATATAAAGCTTATAAGAGTGTGGGTTTTGTTTTATACCTGTGACCGAAGGATTTTGGAGTATTGCAGCTCTGTTTTTTCATAACCAAAAGAACGACACTATACTTGCATACCTCCATCGAACATTGATGGGGTAAAATAATTAAATTTTAAGTAAAATGTTACGAATTATCGACACTCGAAGACTGTGCGTTCCTGTTTATGATATTGTCTAGACATTCAAGGTTATTGCTCTAAAAATAACCATGTGTAGCGTGAACTATGCAGGCTACAATTTTACAATAAATATATGAACAAGGGCAAAGCCCGAAGTCACACAGGCTAAGTAGTTACATTAAGAGAAATTATGCATAATTTATTATCATTATTAAAGCGATCATATGCAGTAGTCTTGCATGGTGCAAAAAATCGCCTAAAAAGGTGCGCCGGAGCAGCCACACTAACTTACCGTCGACCAAGCTGATGGCAATGTGGTAGCTATGAATAACCCTACTCTACTATAGAATATATGCACAATATACACTGATCGTTTCGGAACAATCTTTAAATAATAGGGACTGTATATACGACAGCTTAACATAAGGCAGGGAATTTTATTTCATTAGATTTTAAATAATTTGATGATATATATTAATATTAATCGTTCTTCTTTTATAAAGTAATTAATTCGTCAAAATTTAATTTAATAAATTGCCAAGAAAATCAAAACAGAATCAAATTCACACTTTGAAATAAGCATAATTAAGAACTGTCTTATGTTTATTAAAAAGAAATACATAATATACACATAGTTAAACATAAATAGATACTAAAACAAACCACAAACAACATAATTATTTACATATAATACATAATAATACCTAGCAGCATAGACAGTGAAAAACAGCATAAGTAGAATCAGTTATTTTTGTTTATATATGGTAAAAGAAAACTATATTATTTTGTAAATATATAAAATACAAAAAAAAAAATTAAGCGCCATCAAATACTTATCGGATACGTTGCATTATTTAACGGGTTTTGAACTTTAATTCAATCGAATCGAAATTACATTTGGAGATCTGCTCTCTCATAGATTACAAATTTAAAGTGTTCATAAACAAATAAGGTGTTAAATAATGCAACTACGCCGGATTGGACGGAAGTTAGTGTGGGCACATTACACTCTTACCACGCCATCTGCCACCGCCCCATGTTAAACGGCACGGAATGTATGACACATGCTAAAACTGCGTAGTCTATATTTGTCTTGTCTATTTGACCTATAATAAAATTGACTTTATAGGTAACATATCTTTCGTTAATTGCACTAATACTTATTCAAGTTTAAGTAAGTACAAATAAACCATTTATTGTAAATTTTAAAAGATAATTTAATATTTTGGTTTGAAGATTTTTTTTAAATGAAATTATAAGCTTTTTATTAGGAAAATAATGAACTTAGGCAACAATTTGTTCAATTCCGACTTTACACAATTAACTAATTTAAATAGTTGGACTCGTATTTTCACTTATTCCTAAAAAAACTCATATCAACCTATTAAAGAAGATCAAATCGGAATCGAACGTTATAAATGTTACATAATAATATTAGTGGCGGGTGATATGAAACGCTAATGTTCAGGGGCGGCACTGGCGTGGGCGTGGTCGTGGTGGCGCACCTCCCTACTAGTAGTTAGCCAGCCACGGTTGGCCGGCGGCCGTTGGCCAGCGTCCGTTGGCCAGCGGCCATTGGCCAGCCAACGTTGGCTAGGCGACAGCGCAGCGCTGTACCTCGCTGCTGTCGGTGGGCGGGCGGGCGTCGGCGGGCACCTCGCGCCGCCGCGCCTCGCGCGCCTCGCGCATGCGCGAACACGACTCGTTGCCGGACGACTCCGCGCCTACGACCACCGGTCGGTGACGATATTAAAATGCCCCCATAACATTGGAACTGCGCAATTGCTCGTTGATATATATGAGGACGTCATTCACACACCCCGTTTTTAAATACTAACATTATAAAAAGGAATTATACGATTGTTTGTTTGCAAGGCAAGGTTTCGAAAAGCTAGTTACATATAATATTATGATCGATTTAGGGCACTATAAGTCTGTTTGTTAATAAAAACTTTAAAAATTACTGTTTGTGACTATTTGTTACCTTAATAAATAGAAATCACATGAAAATATGAGAGATAACGAGGTAAAAATAAAAAGAAAACTATGGCAGAAGTATTACATTGATTCTTGAACTCATATCGACTCTCGATGGTAGCTTTATATTTTGGTTCATTTATAAAAGTCAATAAAAGAAATATACAACTCTTAACAAAGGAAGGACGTATTTCACTTTGAAAGCAAACTAGTTAGTAAGATAAAATAACAAATAGAATAAGCGAAATTTAATACAATACATATAAAATGATATGCATTTAAGAGTTGACATAGAAAACTCACCATCATCAGAGTAATCATCGTATCCAAACGAGTCGTCGGAGAAGTAGAGATGGTGTGAGGGGGGCGGGGCAGCGGTGGCGGGAAGCGGAGAGGGGGGTCCCTCATCCCCACTATCCGCCGCGTCCGTATACTCGTCCGAACTAGACGCCTCCTCGTCACTACTAATAAACCAATTGACGTCATAGTGATGTTTCTACTTACTACCAGAACGAGCATTAAATACTAAACTTTCGCAACGATTTTATTTAATATTTTAAGTATTTTTTTTTTCTTTGATATATTTCAATAGTAACAACTGTGTTGGTAATCGTCCTCAGTTCGAACCTTAACCAATTGTATAAAACATGTTTTATTTTGTAAACAAATAATAATTATTTCAATATTTAACGAATAACTTAAAAATCAGAGAAAACTTCGTGAACTGCAACTTTCGGTTAGTTCGTCTCAAAAGGTTGCCGACTATAATGATCTTCAATTAGCAGCCTTCCGACCTGAAAAGGACAAGCTCAAGCGAGGCCGGCCTACTTGGTAAAACCCGCTGCGAGTACTCTCGGGGGGTTGGCGGGAGGGAAGGACTAATTACACTATTAAATAATATTTTTTAATTTCTAATATATATATATTTTAAATCATATTTGTAATATCTCATTCGACACTAAATAAATAATGATGTTTCTGTCAAGACTCCCGCCGGTAGAAAAATATTAGATACTATTTTTTTTTGCTTCATTTTAAACAAGAAATTACTTACATAATAGGCATTAAAGTAAAAGAGTGGGGGGTTTGTTACATCACAGTTTCGTAGAAAATGTACAAAAGCATGACGTCACGCGACATTTCAACTCGACGTATCGCATCGCAGTAACTTATTGATTGCGCAAAAAAAAAAGATACCTAATGAACACTTGCAGACGATTGTACCTGAGCCCGCCGGCCGCGGAGGTCTCGGACGCGAGGAAGTTGCGATCAGTCCACTCGTCCTCATCTATCTCCCGAGCGCCGTCGGACAGCTCCAGACTGATCCGCTCGGGCGTGGGCGTGGCCGCTTGCCCGCGACCGAGTGCGGCCACAGCGTCCGGCACGCTCACGCCCGAGTGACGTAAGCACACCAAACGGGTGCCGTACCGCTCCATGGTGTAATTCCTACGCGAGATGTAACCAAATAAAATTACCTATCCGTATCATTGTGGCTCCCACTGACGAAATATTATTATATTATTACGTGATATTTATTTACACGTAACACCTATCGGAAGTTTGTAAATGAAAATCAAGGTTGTCACTGAAATCACTTGTATTGTTCGTCATTTAGGATTTAACGCGAGGTGTAATGGAGAATGACGCAAGCTAGAAATGCATACGGGAAGTTTCTTAAACGTCCATTAAGGTTTCATGACGCCTTTAAACTTTAATGAATATCAAATTTGTATGCTTTATTACTTTAATGACAATTTTAATTGACTCAACTGAATATATTAATGTTGTTTTCTTAAAGAGCCAAAGCTAATTCGACCTACAAGAAATACTTATCAATAATACGTTTCGTTACACCAGTTTATTCTAATTTTTGTTGGTATTTGATGATACATTTTAAAATGCATTGCATTTTAAAACAAATCAACTCTTAACACGTCACACGTGAATATCAATTCAAATGTAGGTGCTTAAAGATTTGTGATCTGGATTTTCATTTCGGTTTCCTATCGTTATTCCAAGTTTTTAATTGTAAAACTATCTCTACCCCGGTCGCAATACTGCTTTGCAGACGGCGCAGCGGAAGCAGGCGCGGTGTAATTGCAACCCGTCCGCCGCCACGCCCTCGGCGGCGAAAACGCGCGTTCCACACGCCGCGCACTGAACGCCCGCCGCTAGAGGTCCGCGCCAGCTCTTCTTTAACTAAACGATAACATTACAAAAAATACACGACAAGAATAAACTAACAATGAGGAATTATTTTACCGGCTGTTCTTCAATGCAAATACGAAGAACTACAAATACGACTTGTTTGAGTTTTGAAAATTAATTTACTTCTACATAAACGGGTGGGTTGTCATGGAGAAATCAAGATAGTTTTCTAGTTTGATTTCGGGAACTAATGTTTTTTTTTAATACTTCCTAATTAAATAATTAACTATTTGACAGTGGCGAGGTATGACAACCTTTTGACCTAGTTGCTGCCGTGCGACATTTTACTGATTGCAATTATTTTTTTAACATTACGAGTGTAGTGTATTTCTAAATATGTTAACAAATGTCTATATCTCAAGAAATTGTTAAAATATATTTTTTGATTCTTACAAACTAAGGTTCTTCAACCGAATAAATAAAAAAAAATCATGCAATCATGTACTCTCGCTCTATTATAGAGACATAACGCGTTCTGTATAAGATCATTGTTGAAACATGGAAGAAAGGGAATAATATGAAATGTAAAATATAACTGCAACTCACCTCCTCCTTTGGTTGTTGTGGTTTCGAGACAGGTTCGTTGTCGTCTTTTTTAACGAATTTAGTCGCCAAATTTGCTACCTACAAATTGAATAATAAACGTATACTTAAATTAATTGGCTTTAATTTATAAATTCAACAGCATACCTATTATCAAAGATTTTTCTTTGTTACTGACATCTATACAATATATTCTATTTCTAACTTATCACCAAAATTATAACGAAAATTATATTTGTCTGACACGTCGGGTTGTGGTAAAGTAATTATTATTGTTTATAGTTGAATTCCATTTTTTTTTCAACTAATTAAATATTACCATTATTGTAAATTATTTAAACAATTGATTCAGGGTATGTTCCGATATACACTGCGAGCACTGCGCAGTGGTCTTACTGCTGAAAAATCCGTTCCGTTATGGACTGCCAGTACACTGCTACAGTACCGTAGGGAAATTTATGACGTCATGAATTGCCGCCATATTTGTACTGTGAGCACTGGAGATTTCCAGGTGCAGTGCTCGCAGTGCTTTTGACCACGTGATCAGTCGAAACAAATAAAATAAAATACTTACGTTTATTATAAGATGGATTTGATTGATAAATATTTTTTTTATACAATTTTCAATTTTATAATATTTTCTTTTGAAAAGAGGGAATCTTTATATTTATATTCACCTTGCATTAACAAATTTGAAAATGGCGCCAAAAATAGGATTAACAGTATACTGGACTGCGTTCCGTTTTAAAAAGTCACCAGTATAACTATAAACTATAAGCTATAAAGGATATACTAAATTGACGTCATACTGTTCAGTGGTCGCAGTGTATATCGGAACATACCCTCAACTAAAATAATACTAGAAAATAAAGCTAAAATTTAAATTAATTTAAAAAAAATAGGAAAAGAATTTGACATTTCAGTTAAAATAATCCAACCTTTTTGGTGCCGTGGTCTGGGCGGCCGGAGTCGCGCAGTTTCTGGTCCAACTTGTTCAGAGTCTCGTCTATCTCCATCCACTTCTCCTCGTTCGCGTCACCTTCTTTCAGCCGCCTTTGCCGTACTAAGAACTAAATAAACAACACGTTTCAAATTGTTTCAATCAAGATGCTGTACAATATAATTGATACAATAACAAAGTTTTCAAAGTTGATATTGAGCCAGTAAAAATGACTTTGATCTTGATACAACCAGAGAATTATTCACAGAACAAATATTAAGAAGAAGAAAAAACAAACTAACAAGCTTTATATTAGCAGATTTAAGCAAGAAGTTCTCAACTTTTATGTATGATTCATTGTAAACACGGTTAGATGATCGAAAAAGATTTTTTTAAAGACTGCTTATGATTTATAATATATTAAATTGATTCAAAGACGATTGCTACTAGGACAGTTAACCGAACACATACCTGTTCCCTGTCCCACTTGGGCACCTTCTCAGCAGTCTTCGGCTCGGGCCTTCCCAGTCTGTTCTCCATGATCTTTCTCTCTATCTCTTTCACGTTCCAATCGTCTCTCTCTATCTTGCCGACGGAGCGCATCAGGTCTTTGGGTTTCTGCGCTTGGGTTCTGGGACTGTTCGTGTTCGCAGTATTTGTACCGGACAGTTCTGCAGCTAAACGAGCTACACGTGCTCCGCCACCGGCTGTTCTTCCACCTCCGCCGACTATACGGCCCTCCTCCTAAATAAATACCATACCATGTTATTTTATTTTCTTCTTTTACATTCTGTATACATCCCCACATCCTCGGCCTCTTTTTGGTTGGTTTTGGAGAGAAATCTTTCCTATGTTGTAACAAGATTAGTCTTTGTAACAGTAAGTTCTTAACAATACGAGTACTTTACTACCCAGGGACTGTTTTAGTAGGACAAAAAGCATTCAATAAAATTTGCTAATTCATAATGTATTTGAACATGTTGATATTTTCTGTTTTTTTTTTTCGATTATTTAATAAAAATGCTGACATTAAATATTTTATTTTTCATTATCAGTTCGATTCAATGTGAGTGAGAATTTGTATTTTATTAATGATTATTTTAGAATTATGTTGTCATTTTAATATTTTTTTTATTATTAGTAGTTTTTTAATTGACTTTGAATCAAATAAGAACATGTATGAATTATAATATTTGCACATCTTCTTGACAACAAAATATGCTGGGCATTTAAAATTATTAATAACTTGCAAAACCATATTTCCACAAATAAAATTTTTATTATTATTATCCAATGTTAACCTATTTTCATTGTTTTCTATTTTGGTTGTTGGTTTGTTATTTTACATCCTGGATTTTCGGTGTTTATCCCGCTCAAACATTCTCCGAGGTACACAAATTCAGTTCATGCAGTTTGCTGATAATAGCAATACATCAATAACGCCCGTATAGTTAAAATCATAATGACATTTTGTCTTTGTACACAAATTATTGTCAAATCTAAAGAATCATTGTTACTTTATTTATAATTTTCACTAAATACAAAACTCGGTAGTCTTGTTAGTCTTGTTACTATAGAATATACTAGTAAACAATAAAGTTATTATCTTAATTTACACAGGTAATTGAAATATCGAAAATCTTGATACATCATTTTTTTTTTTTATTGAAATCTATACTAATGTTATAAAGTGGAAATATTTGATTGTTTGTCTGTTTTCATTGAATAGAATCTGAAACTACTGAATTGATTCTAAAAATTATTTCACCTCCTGGAAGCTAATTCAGGTGCGGGTGACGTAGATTGTAATTCTCATGGGGAAATCGTGGGGAAGAATAACGACTAAAGTATATTGTTTTTTAATCTTAGAGACTAAATTATCACATGCAATTGTCAAGTTTAGAAAAAAAGGTTACCAGCTTTTTCTTACATTATTGACCTAAATCTGGTATTTTGGAAATAATCGGTAATTCATTATCAGTATTAGACGATAATATTAGTAATGAAATCCATTGTTCGTGATAAAAAGACACTTTCGGACACTTTTCCTTCATTTTTCAATTGGAATTTTCGTTTAATTAAATGAATCGATAATTATTTAAAAACAAATTTCGATCGAAAGAAGTTGGTTATTTTTCAATAATTAATATTAATATGATATTATAAACTAGCTTAACCTATGTATATGCCAATAATGAAACTTCCCATTGGTGTTTTTTTTTTAAATGCGTGCATTAGTTTTAAAGTCTATTCGTTGAAAACAAACAATTAAATCTTACTTCTTTATAATATCGATCAAAAAACTGTGATCTAGTTTACTTTTTCGTTTAATGGTCGGTTGGGACACATCGTTATTTAAAAATTGGAAAACTTGACAACAGAATAAATGTCAATTTAGTCTCTGACTTTAAAAATCTATACTACATATCAGGAGAAGTCAAAACCTTAAAAAAAAAGTCTTTTTTTTTTTCCAAAGAATAGAGCCGAATACAAATTTAAAAAAGTAAAAAATAATAGTTAGGTATCTTAAAAGCGGCTGAATTTTTTAAGAAACATTTTAAGTCCGGCAAAGGTTTAGAGGTTATTATTATAAAAATAATTATACGAGACAATATTTGTATACATATTATTCTGGTCGTATCGCAAGCCACCTGGTTTTTTTTTTGTCATTCGGCATAAAGTAATAATTTTTATCATAGTAAAAACCTGTATTAAAATTTTGCGTTATTTCAATCACATAAGTAGGTATTGTAATATTTTTTTTTGTCGAAGTTTGTTGTGTAAATTTGTGAAGTAAATTTGTCTTGATTAATTATCAGTAACTTTATTATGAGAATCAAAATTTTGTTAAATGTAAGCAGTGCAAATATGTTTTCCAAAGGTCACACATTAGGGGCGCAACGAGAGGTTTCATCTGGTGTTAACACGCAAAAACACACCAGCCTATGTAGAGAAACCGTCAAATCTGTAATCCTAGTAGTTAGTAAAAAACACAGTGTTCATAAAGACAAACAAAAAAAAAACAACAACAACAAAAACAACAACGGTGATTGTTAATATCCGTTAATTCATGCAGAGTATTACGCGTGTAGTCTAGCGTCGTTCGTTCATGCGGCACACGGCTCACGTAGTGCTGGAGTTGCTTCTCGAGCTGCTGCACGCGGTCGCGGAACTCCGGCGCGTTCGCACGGTACTGCAGCAAGCCGACGTCATACTCGAGATCGGCCCCGCCTCCCGCCCCGCCCCCCTCCGGCCGCGGCTCCGCCACCAACATCTGGAGACTCTTCTCGAAGCGTTGCCTAGTGATCTCGCGCGCGGCCCGCCTCCTCCCCCCGCCGCGCGACCTCTTCCCCTCCACCTTTTTCGCCATCAAATCGGACGCCCGCTGCATACGGAACGACATCTCCCCAGAGCCCCGCCTCTGCTCCAATTGCCGCGGCTCCAGCCTAGGCTTGCTGCCCTCTATCAAGTCCACCATACGTTGGCAACGTAACGCCATTTCCGGATTCCCCACAGATTCGCGCTTCACGCGCTCCGGACTGGACATGTCTTGACGTTTCCCCTCGATCATTTCCGTCATCCTTTGCATCCGGAGCGCCATTCCGGGATTGATCGACGTCGAACGTGTCGTTCTCGCTTCCGGACTGGGCGTCCTGCGCCGTTTGCTACCTTCGAATAACTGAGCGATGCGTCTTGTGTTAGCCGCCTCCGCGGGCCCTACGGAACTGGAACGACCAAAAGACACTTCTGGACTCTGCGAATGCCGCCTCTTGTGTAAATCGACCACTTCGGATAACCGTCTACCTTTGGGCAACGCGATCTCCGTTGAAACAGCGCGTACCATTTCCTTTTTCTTCGGCACGTCTATAGACGACGCCCTGACAAATTTCCCAGCAGTAGGTATATCGACCGAGGCTGCCTTCACTAGTTCTTTCTTTTTCGGTTTCACTGTGTTCACTAAAGTAGCGTCTGTATCTGTGTCGTCCTGAAATATATCGGAAAAATCTGGGACTTTTATAGTGGAAGCGTCTAAGCCTTTTAACTTACGCGGAGGCTTCACCGGTTTCTGTTCTGAAGTTTCAGTGAAAAAGTGAGCTAGTTTCTCTTGCGATTTGATTTTAGTCTTCACGCCACCCTGTAACAGTTGGGCTAAGGATTCCCTGAGTACTTTGGGATCAGGTGATTCATCGGGATCTAGGAGAGCCAAGATTTGCTCCTGTAGCTCTTTCTGTTTGTCTATCTGTCTGTCCGTATCGAGGGCGTCGTGTCCGTCGAGCAGCCGCGCTAGATGTGTGATATCGTTGAGATCTAGTTGACCGATCTTGTTGCGTATGTACTCAGCTGAATCGTTACTTACTTGGGGCGTCCTGACTGAGCGTCTCTTCTTTCTGTTGCTGGAGTGGGACTTGTCGGCTTCAGCTGCATCTGTTAAGAAAAATACTTAATAAAAACAAACACCACAGCAGACAAACAATAGAGAAAATGTTACTAAAATATACAAATAGTTAATAATTAATATGAAATTTATCAGACATACGAAACTAATAACTTTAATGAGGAAAAAATAAATCTAAATGAAAATGTAAGATCATTATATGTGGCAAGTACATGAAAGTTATAGTGTTAAATATGTTATAATACCTAGTCTGTGTTTACACGTGTCTATAAGCTTCGCACTTAAAACCCATTTTAACAGCAGATAATTTGGTAATGACTCGTGATTACACAAAGCAATATAATTGTTATGTATAAGAGTGAAATTAAATAATTATCCTCCGTCCGATCACATTATTTACTCACTTGAATACGCAGATATCGAATGGTCGGTAGTATTCCGAATGTGCTTCTCTTTCTGTAGACTTTGTTTGATCTAAACATAAAGCATTGTCTCAGTTATAATAACTATCGATAATATGATCTTTACTGCCAACCCTGTAAATAAGTTGAGCACATCATCTCTTTCTTTTTGTATTGCCAAAACAAGGATAGTGGCAACGAATATAATCCACAACTTAAAGACTACTACAAAGGTAGTTTTTGAAAATATAAAATATATATATATACGTTTGACAAGATCCATTATTGCGATTCAATATCTAGCACATTTAAAAGTATATTGTTTATAAAACATTATTTTTTTACATATTTTGCTTTTTGTTGTGCGTGTTGTTCTTAGTGCAGTCTGTAAGAAAAAGTAAACAGTGATATGGATTTGTCATTGTCGAATAAAGTAGCCTGTGACAATATACTTAAAACTATCTACGAACCACCAACATTCTTTATACACTTGCAACGAATATACAATCACTACTTAGTCTTCGGTATATCAAACTGCTTATAATGTAAGCATTTTGATCGACCGAGTACCGAATTTCTTAAGTAATATATTATAATAGGGAATCAAATAACTTAAACCGGTCCTGACCGGTCCCCTATTGATAAAAAGAAAGAAATTACCGATTTTTGTTTTCTTATACTAATTATTAATTACTGAAACATAATTATCTTGTGTGTTATAATATTTTACCATTTTTTGTCAACATGTATAGGGACGTGTAATATTGCCATAACTAGAGGCTGCTATATGTTGCATGTATTTTTTATTTATATTCATATAAGTATATTAATATAAGCGCCGCGGCCCGCGGTCGTAGTCGTTAAGCAACTTTCGCAAGGGTCGGTCACGGGATGGGTGATCAAAAAATTATTATCTCGAGCTACTCCGTGCTTCGGAAGGCACGTTAAGCCGTTGGTCCCGGCTGCATTTTGCAGTCGTTAATACCCTCCAATAAGCATTGGGCCAGCGTGGAGGGTCATGGCCCATCCGCCTTAACCATCCATAAGGAAGGCCTGAGCCCCTGCAGTGGAGACGTAAAAGGGCTGGTGATGATGTGATGATTCATATAATTTACGACATCGCTTGTCCCGTTTTGCGAAAAGAAACTCTAAACAATCAAATAAATAAAGTGAGCGCGAGTGACACAGCGTTTTTTTCTTACCAATCGAACTGAAAGAACGTAGACAGAGCTGTATCTGCATATAACAGTTATAATAAATATAACTCAGAGCACGGACTCTACGGTTTTTGTTTTATTTAATTTTGACGACGTCTGTAGAAGTGTGACTTTCAGAGTTTAATCCCCGGTCATTCAATATAAAAAACGAACCGAGCATGATATAAGGGTATTATGTTGCTACTTAATATGGGCTCTAAACAATGTGAGTGTATGTGTTATGCCGATTATATTCATTGTGTACCATCTTTCAGCCAGCGGCTTCGCCCGCGTGGACCCTAGGGGACTGTTTATTTGGATATTGATTCTTAACACGACACGAATATAATCACAATGACAAACTGAATAGTAAACAATGGCACGGACGTAGCTATAGCTTTGACAAGGGGGGGGGGGGGGTCCCCCAAAATAAAAAACAGAGGTCTAACATGAATAAAATCTATCATTTAAAAATTAAACATTGCCTGCGACTATAACACGCAAATACAATTATAATATATACTAATCTATAATATATAACTTAAGTTACTCTGAGTGGGTGCCTTTAAATAAAAAGTTGTAATGTATGTATTGTAATATTGATTCAAAAGTAACAAAGTTGAAACTTCAAAGCACTAAATTTAGTCTTTTACGTTTTATTGCTATCTGATTAGGGACACGCTCCACAGCAACTATCGTTTTCTACAATAGACGTAGTGCATGTATTTTTTTTCTGGTGGACAAGTAAGATGGATATGAATGGGGGGTCCGGACCCCCAAGACCTCCCCCCCTTACATACGTGCGTGAATAATGGTTACTATGGCAACGTTTCATTTCCCCATACAAACTTCCACTCCTATTTTCATAATTTGATGTTTTTCGAGATAAAATATAGCCTATGTTTATCGCATATGATGTTTTAAAATCGGTCCAGTAATTTCAGAGTCTATTCGTTGCAAACAAACAAACAATAAAATCTTTTCTTTTTTATAATATTTTTGTAGAACTTGCCTGATCGAAGACGTCTGTCTGGTGGTGTACGTGAGGCACTTCACCTTTGAAAGCGAGATAGACACGCGCTAAGTAAGCTCTAAGCCGCGCCTCGGGTATCTCTCGCCCACCTGTACTGGTACCAAGGGGAGATATGCCTGCACCAAACAATATGCATGATTATTTTTCAACGCGTCAGTCTATACATCTACTAAGTTCAAATAAACTAAAGAAGATTGCCTGTACACCGGTACAATTATACCAAAAATAATGTTTTCTTTGATTGTATTTGCTATTGGTTTTTAAGCCATATTTTTAAACTCAATAAATAGTGTTGGTAAATGATTAACAATTTACCTATTTCCTCAAAAATATATAGCATAGCTAAAATATAACGTTCTGTTTACATTTGACACTTATATTAATAAATTAACCTAGAACAAAAATGTTTGTATAGCTACAGTATATTACATTTGGGTTGATGCAAGTTGGTACGAATCGCCATATAAAAATGGACAATGTTTTTTGCAAGGAAACTGAGAAACTTTTTTTAACTGAGAAATAAACGTCGAAATTATCGATTAGACAGAGATGAATATAATGTACTTAATTATGTCATGAACAGAAAGTTGTCACATTTTATTATTCCTTGTAATAAGAAATTGTGTGTTTAAAAGAGACTACAAATATATAATAAAGACAGAAGCTCTAATTAATACTAAATTAGGTAAATTACAAAAAAAAAAACTGTTCAGGAATATCCATATGTAACTGGTTTAAAATCAATGATTTACTCGTACATATATAAACAAGCTAACTTAAAAATCCGATTTATAGACTTATTACACAAAAATGTATAAGTTCATAATCGTTATTACACATACCGAATTCGTGTTGTAGAACGGTGTAGACGGATCGTGTGGGCGCACCGGACGGCAGTAAATCCGGTCGGTAGCGTCGTACGAGAGCAGTCATCGCCGCCGGACCAGTGGCGGCGCGCAAACCACCCTCGCCCCATCCCACCCACGACACTAGAGCCTCTTCAGATATCTCCGGTTCTGTGCATAAAAGTGGATCAAAATGATTTTATAGAACAGAATTAGAGATTATTGTATTTGATAAATTTTGCACTATACTGGAATATGTTTTTAATTACAAATGAAAATTTAAACGAACGTTTAAAATATTTGTAAAAATACATCTTTTTTTTCAACTGTTTGGGTGAATTGCCTGAACGTGAACCTGAAGCGAAAAGTAACAAGTGCTTGAAAAAATCGTCAGTCCTGTTGGGTCTTACGTAGCTTAGTGGTTAGAGCAGTCCCATCTCAAATGCTTGGAGCTGGTGGGATCTTCTATTAAGAAGTAGAGATTTTGTGATGAAATAAATCTTAATTTTTATTTTTAACGCACCTTGTAAATAATAAAAATAAACAGAAAAAAAAATATGTGCATATATTCCCTATTGACAGACGCTACAACGAAACTTTTATATTCGTGCTCCGTGTATTATTATAGTATGTGTTACCTCTGCGTCGTTTCTTAGCGGCGGGCGTTGCGTCCAGAGGTAGCGGATCGTCTGAATCGTAGAATGAGGTGACGCGGTGCGGTGCGACCGCGGTGCGATTCAAATTCGGATACCGCGTGCCGGGATCCAGCGTGTACGCGCCAAAGTCCCGGTGGAGGTTCTCCGGTGTTGTTTGAGCTGCGTCAGATAACACAATAGTTATTTAAGATACGAGTGCGGAAAGTAAGGTTTTACGAATAAGGGCCAAATTATATTAAACAAAAAAAGAGCGTAGCGAGGGTTTTCATTGGCACGAATTCGAAAAACCTTTTACGCTCAAGTTTCTTACAACATTTTTCAATACTTTTTGCAAGGAAATAAAACAAATATATAGGTTAATAAAACTAAGTATGTATTAAAGGTAAAAATTATTTGTTAAAATTAAACGTGATATTTGAACATGCTTTCGTGTCATAGATTTTTATTTGAAGATATTCGTTCTAGGCTCCTTGAAATACTTTTGCCTCTAAAGTTTGACATATTTTCATCATTTTTTTTTTAAATTTCCGCGTTGCTCGGCCAAAAAAAAATAAAAAAATACTTTTAAGCACGAGTGCAGTAAAGGATTTCAGTACATTTTTATATTCCCCCATTTAAAGACTCACTTTCGGTGTTTACAATGGATTAAAAAAATAGCGCTTTATGAGCAACTGCATTGAAAACACGTTTTATTATAAGACGCATCATACCCGTACACTGATGCGTTATAAAACGGCGTAAACTTTACTGTGGTAGCGTTACATTATAATACAACCACAAAGGGCGCGATGAACTCAAAAGTAGTTATCCAACTATTAGGATCATACAGCATACCTCTTGTTAGAGCGAGATAAACATATTCATTTTGCTTTACGTGTCAACTTCAATCCTATCTCCATTAAACACGATGCACGAAAAAAATTACCCATTTTATTATTATTTACGCATGTAACTATATATTTTTGCTTTTCTCATTGTCATTGTTTAATTTTTGCATTGTTTAAAAACACAGGAAGGCATTTCTTCTACAACTTTTCACAGATAATTACCAATGAAATGCCACAACACTTGTTGAAAGTGAGTAAAGTGAAACTCGCGCAATTTGTTGTCAATGTTGTGCGCAGATAACTCATCGAAACTTTGTAATATATATTCTGCATTTTTAATCAGTGCATTTTTCCCTACACTTTATTATCTTAAATATCACTTGTTTAAAAAGTTTTCTTTTTTCATTTCACATTCCATTTAATATTTACCTTCTATGAAAACGACAAATCAAATCAAAATATTCTTTACCGTCGAATAATTTTATTTTTTACTACGAAAGAAAGAACTGTATTTATTGACTTTATAAATGTAATGGGAAGAAAACAATGTTCAATAAACAGAGTGTTGTCAACGTGGATATTGGATTTTTCAGCTGTTATTCTAATAGAGCCCTATGATTGTTACATTTAAAAAAAAACCTTTATCAGGTATTAGTATATTGAATCCACATGTTTTATTACATAACACAAATAGCGTACCTATTGTCACATCACACTCCACCAGTCTACCAGAAAAAAAATCATGTCGGAGCTCGAATGTTATCCGATAGGAATAACACAGTAGCAAATAAATTATAACATAAAAATATCAAAATCATGTGAACTACATAAATTAAAAAACATAATAAAAGCAATAAATGTTTATATTAGTTAGCATTGATGTACAAATAAACAATATCACTCACCCAACAGCCTGTAGACGGACTCCCGTTCGGCGACCACGTGCAACGGATGCGGCGAGGGGGCGTGTCCCCACGCGCGCACCGCCCACGCCGCGTCCAGCGCCGAGAGGAAGCCGCGCGCGCAACCGGAGCCCGTCGGCCAGAACGGCTCCAGCAAACTGTCGCCCACCAGTTGGCAGAGTAGCCGGCGACCGAACCGCTCGCGGACCTATACACGGCAAACACAATATATTCTTTTAATCATCTAATCACTAGTCAGGATTGCAATGGATAAGTTACAGAAAATATTTACGGAGAATGACTACATGCGAATGTCAAATTGCTCGGTGGCGTAGTGGATAAGCGCCACGGCTGCGACCGTTGTTGTTAAGCAACTTTCGCTCGGGATGGGTGGCCAAAAATTATTATCTTGAGCTACTCCGTGCTTCGGAGGGCACGTATAGCCGTTGGTCCCGACTTTATCTGCAGTCATAAATACCCTCCAATCCACATTGGGCCAACGTGGAGGGTCATGGCCCATCCTCTTTAACCATCCATTTGGGAGGCCTGAGCCCCTGCCGTGAGGATGTAAAATTGCTGGTTATGATGACTAACATAAAGCTTTTCCAGTTACAAATAACTTTTATTTGGTAATTGTATCTTTGGTTTAGGTACAATCTACAGTAAGAATCTTTACTACAAAAGGCGTTTCTCAATTCGATTTGATATTAACTTTAAAATTTACTTTGGCCTCATGTGAGTAAACTGACATTTAGCCGCTGTGTGATTCATATAAACTCACCAAACTGGCGTTCTCCGCCGCGTACATGGACGTGAAGTCGAACAGCGCCACGTCGGGCTCTCCGTAGTGGTTCAAGGCGAAATCGCGCAACGGCAACCGGCCACCCGTCGAGAAGCGGGCGGCCTCCTGCGCGTACCGCATCAGCGCCGCGCGGTCCACGTTCTCCACATGCAGCAGGCGGGACACCTCCGCGTAGTCCTGACAGATAACACACACTAAGTTAAGATGATTCTAGCACACTTCAAAAGAGACAAGGTCATCGATCTAATATATACAACTCGGAGGTGACCGACTGACATAGTGATCTATCAATGCACAGCCCAAACCACTGGACGGATCAGGCTGAAATTTGGCTGAAAGTAAATGTTATGACGCAGGCATCCGCCAAAAAAGGATTTTTATCAATTCTACACTCAAGGGGATAAAATAAGGGATGAAAGTGTGTATGAAACTTTGTCAATTTTAAACCGATCGGGCTGAGACTGCATGCATAAAGCTACTATGACATAGGCATCCCCTAAGAAAGGATTTTGATAAATACCATCCCTAAGGGGATAAAATAGGGGATGAAAGTTTGTATGAAACTTTGTCAATTTCAAACCGATCGGGCTGAGACTTTGCATACATAAAGCGTGAAATTTGGATAAATTCCACCCCTAAGGGAATGAAAATTTATTTCAGGTATTTCACACGATATAATGAATAAATATTCGCTAAAAATGCTGCTCAAAGTAACTTTACCACGCGGACGAAGTCGCGGGCAAAAGCTAGTTTATTCATGTATGTCCAGCCACAACTGCGCGGTTTATTAACAGATTTTTTTCTTCATTCGATAGAGTATACTTCCGAAACGAGTTTATGAAATCTTTTGTAGCATTCAGTTTTTTTTTTTTATCGCATTAATTTAATGAACTATTCTACCGTCTGAATAGATAGATGTCTTCGACGATTCTACGCAATTTTGTTTTTGCAAAACAAATGCAGAAACTTTTTGGTATGCAAAAAATTTGAACAAACTTATTTTGTTACCGAACTATGTTAAACAAAAAAAAAATTAATTAAGCGTGTGTAAGTTACGGACACCACTTCACTTGATTTCATTCGCCATAATGTATTTTTACTGTGTAAAGTAACCCTATTGTTCAATTATATTGGCGTTTTAGAAACTATCTATATATCTATCTCGCCGATTTGGAATATCTCTTTCCTATTTATATTAAGAGACATCAACATTTCCATACTCACATTCAGTAGGACCCCTTTGTCGAGGAGACTGTGTTTCTTTGCTGTCATGACAAAATAATGAGTGTCGTCTTTATAATACACTATATTTTCGAGATCGATACCCGTCGCCTCGTACAGCTCCTTGAAGAACTTCTGGTTAAATATGAACGCCACTCCGCTGATTTCAGGCACCTGCGATATCATTATTATTATTAATCTAAAACTAATAAAATTAGGTGTTCATTTTAGTGTAAAAAGGAGATATCTCATTTTTGGACATGAATGTGTACAGTTAATTAATTACACGTTCTGAAATCTTAATTAAGTTCTGATGTCATTAGATTAAGACTAATACGAGATCTCTACTTAAGATATTTATTATTAATACTATTCTAGAAAATCGTTATGTATCCAAATATTTTAACTTATAATCAGTATTAATATAATATTATTATTTTAGTATATTTCTACTGTACTGTACACGATCATCTATGTTCCATAAGACTGAAACATCCTCAAACACCCCATTTCAACACGTGCAACACTGACCGATGCCTCCTGTTCCGTGTGTCGGTTGATGAAGTTGGCCGTGATCGCCATGGCCAGTTTCCCCCTAAACTCTTTCCGTTTGAAGCCCTGCAGTGTGTTCCGCTTGCCGTCAGCGCCCATTAACACGTCGAACTCGTACTGAGACACCGGGTGAGCTGTTGGAGACACTCTCGCTCGCCACCCTAACGCTGGAAATGAAAATATACAGATACAGAAACTACAAAAACATTCATACTTTTACAAAATATGGACCAGTCGAAAAGTAACATACTATACCCGTACGAATGAATATCACACCCGAAGACCTATTCTAATACGATTTCAAAGTAACGCATTATTCGATAATTTATGATGCAAAATTATAGAATAGGCCCTCTGGTAATTCGCATGAGTTTTGTTGTAAAACTCTCTCAGTTAACTGCAGAATATCCGAGGAAAGCTCGCAACTCCAATTACATCATTCTTTTTCAAAATATGGGCTAATCATAAAGATAACTGATACATATAGTCAGTAAACTAGGAAAATGTACAATAGATTATACGAGAACAATCCTTAAATAGATATACGTGCACAAGTGGCAAAGAAAACTCGCAACTTTTACCGACTATTACTCTACGTCATAACAAGCTCATTAAGGGACCCGCTATAAGGACACATGCCTTTGTTAAAACTACTGATGCTGCCGGGACAACGGCTTATCCTGCTTTTTTTGAGGAACCACGGAGAAGAACTAGATAATAAATAATCGGTCGCCCATCCTATAGACTGGGCCTTGATAAAGTTACTTAACCTCAAATAGATAAGGTTATCAAATACACCATATACAGCCGCTTAAAGCGTTTTGCATTAACAATTTCCATCTGAATTCTTCTTATAAAAAGACTGTACATTTAACAAATAAATAATTATAATAATATAAGCCTACTTTATATGTTTCAATAAATATGTTTAAAAAAAATATATAAACTTATGCATACAGCAGTGTTATGTATCACATTGGGTCAGTGTAATGGTGTCTTTCTATGAAATAATATATATTTTTTTGCGATCGTACACGAAAATATTGTTGTCATTATCACTTTGTTAAACAAGATTTCTACAAACATGTTGCTACTTCGACACACGATCGATATTAAAACCTTCTAATTAAATGTATTCCGTTGGCTCCAACTGAATACATAACCCTACTATGAAATAATAGTATAAGAATAAGTACATATAATACTGTAGTATGTACTGCAGTTCGAGTTGCCCAACTATTTTATATGGAACATTCAAATTAAATACCATAATTGATATAATTAATCATTAAGAAAACCATACAATGAGGTTATGGTTAATCTAATTATAACAAATATATGTAATACTGAAGACAACGTGAAACCATCTGACGAAATTCCGTGCGCACGAAAAAATAACAATTAGGTGCTGCACAAACAAGAAGATCCTTTATGTCGGCACTTATCAAGGTTGTCTACTTATTTTTATGAAACTATTAATTTTCTATGATATTTTTTGTGAGATTGTTTTCTAAGCAACTTATAGTACACAGTGCGGCACATAGGCGTCAAAACCATGAAGGAATTTCATAGTTTTGGATAACCTTTCGACCAGTATACATATCCACACTTTAGCAATAGACACAGGGTCTTATAATAAACATTCGTTTTACCGGAATGTTCATTTTAGAAATATTTATGTTCGAAATATGAGACCTCAAAGATGACTGATGAAACTTCTAGTATATGGTGACGAAGATCTAGCTAATATGTATTATTTAAGTCCGGTGTTGATTAAGCTATAGTTTTCAGTGGGCTACTGAGCAGAACGCATACTCAAATATAAACCCTCTATTTCAACCAAAAAAAAATCTTAGATATAATAAAAGTTATGGGCAACCCTATTTTTTTAATAATTATGGCGCGCGTTGATGATGGGCGGGAGGTCAACGACCCCTGACGTCACACTCCCAATAAGGACGTTGTTAGATCCAAAAGTGGTATACTCCGCGTGGGATCCATATGTGAAACCTGCACTCAAGGTGTGGACAATGTCAATCGCTATCACGTATGAAATAGTATACGAACGCCTTTATTAAAATAAACTATACAGCTATGAACTACATATAATAAGGATTACAAATACATGCATTGAAATCGAAAACCAACCTACATATTATGTTTATTAATTTGTCATGATCCAATGATCTCTCCACCCACATTTAACATTTTTAAATGAAAATGAAAAACACGTTGACAACAACACAGAATTCCATTAATAACAAAGAAAGTAATTATAATTTCCAAATGAATGCAACAGCATCTGAATGTTAAATAAAAACCAGCCAAAAGCAAGTACGACTTTCGCGCGCCATAAAAATCATTGACTTCTTATAAGTTTTCGTATAATCTATAATCGCTCGTATAGAATGTGCATGATCTCCTACCCATCATGTAACTTTTGTTATTCTGCCAATCAAAGTTTGGACCATATACTTTTTTATAGTTCGCACTCCTTTTCTTACTACAACAGATGATTTTATTGGTAATCTACAAAAAAAGCTGATAATATCCTGCCGGCATACCGTAACTTAAAAATAAATATCAAGTGTTATTTTCCTCTCCTATAAATATATCCAAAACACATGGAGAAATTGGAAAATATGTAGAATAACATTAAGAAAAACAACATAATGATAGGAAAATATGATTTTGTCTTGACTGTACGGCATACCTATATGGTGGCTTTGCCTTTTCCATTTTAAAGTAAATGGAATGAAGTGAATGAATATTTTTTTTTTACTTCATTCCATTTAGTATTTGGCTACATATGGTAGCAAAAACTAAAAAAAATATTTCTTCACTCAGTGTCGCCATTTATTCAAAATCTCGCGGCTGTTCATACCAACATGAAATGCACCACAAAAGCACGCTCTGCGTGCTGTCACCCGTCACACAAATTACGATAGTTAAACGACAGTCGCTATTCCGAGCCGTTATCGTATATTCAAATGCCTTTATTAGGACTAAATCCTGGAACTTGAACTTTCCTAACCAACGAGTTTTAACTGCAAAAATAATATTATCCATTTCATCGACTTACTCTCAGAGTTTTCTGTGACCGTTGGCTCCAGTAGCTCTTCGAAACTGACGCCTTCGTGAAATTCCACCCCCAATAATAACGCCACCTGAGTCAAGTAAAAACATCTTTTTTATTGATTTAACCTCCTACAGACATTACAATATGACGGATTTCATAACCCTACACTTAAAATATTTGTTCCGTACAGATTAATCAACAGTGAATCGTTTTGGTAAACATATAACCATCAATTTTCATCGACCGTGTCGAACGATGCGGAAGGAACCAATCTAAACTAATACTACGAGGGTCAAACTGAAAGTTCTTAGAAAATCAAAAACTGATTACATTAGCCAGTTATTAGTTTTATTATATCTTTTCAAAATATTGTCCATTCACGTCAATACACCGCTGCATGCGATGGAACCACTGGGAAAAGCACTTTGCCCACTCGTCCTTAGGGGTCTCTTCAATGGCATCGCGATACGCAGCCACCGCTTCTTCAGCATTCATAAACCGCTTTCCTTTAAGTTTTTCTTTAATTTTTGGAAATAAATAAAAATCACAAGGCGCGAGGTCGGGGCTATACGGCGGGTGACCCAGTAATTCAACGTTTGATGTCGCCAAATAGTCGATCGTTCGCTTGGCGGTGTGCGACGAGGCGTTGTCGTGGTGAAGGAGGATCCTACTGCGAGGTCGTTTCTCTCGAACTTTTTCCAAGACAAGTGGCAAACAATTGGTAGTGTACCATTCTGCAGAAACTGTTTTTTGATCCTCTAACACAATTGTTGCAAAATGACCTATCCTTCCAAAGAACGAGGCCACCATTTTTTTTCCCGCACTTCGATCTCTCTTCACTTTAGTTGGCAACTCCTCGAAAGGAAACACCCACTGAGCAGATTGTCTTTTGGTTTTAGGATCATAACAGTAAATCCAGCTTTCGTCACCTGTTAGTATGTCGAACACAGCATTTGAGTCACCTCCGTTAAATCTTTCAATCATTTTACGACACCAATCCACACGATGGAGTTTTTGAGCCTCAGTCAAATTATGAGGTATCCACCGGGCGCAAAGCTTCCTGACCGCTAAATGTTCGTGGAGGATTTTGTGCACTTGACTCATACCGATGCCTAAGCTTGTCCGAATCTGTTGATAGGTCACTCTTTTGTCAGTCTCTATCATACGCCGCACAACACAGATGTTATCTTCAGTCGTCGCCGTAGAAGGCCGTCCCTCACGTAAATCATCAGTGAGATTAGTGCGACCACGTTTAAACTCATTAAACCAGTTGTAAACAGTCGCACGAGATGGGGCTTCATCGTGAAAGGCCAATCGTAGTCTATCATAACTTTCTTGTTGACTTAAATTACATCGAAAGTCATAAAAAATCATTGCACGAAAATTTTCTCGTGTTAAATTCATGATGACGTGACACAGACAATTTTCAATTTGCCGCCAAATCGTAAAACAAATGACAAATGAATGAAATATATACTCAGTAATATTGGCAAAGAGTTATATTTTCAAATTTTAGAATTATTTTTTTATTATATTGTTTATAAGTGGCCAGTTCTAAGAACTTTTAGTTTGACCCTCGTATAAAGGTATACTATGAAGGTACTAATACTAATCCACATTTCATACTGTTTTGGTCCAAATTTAAAAGTGCCGGCCAAAAAGAAAATATATTTAACACTGATAGAACTTGTCCGCTTTAGCATTTCTTTATATGGGACGAAAGCTCTAGCACCATTATACTCGCTGGTATTTGAGTTATAAAAGTCTGTTTTTCATACATTTTCTATAAAACTGTTAACTATAAAAATGAAGCATCTTGCAAAAATATTATTCAATATTGCTCACTACTATTGCACGTCCATCATTGGAAAGAGAACGATTGGATGCTGTTCTCATATAATGTGTATTATATGGTACATGAGCTATGCTCGACATTTAGCACATATGGCTCCACCAGCTTTGGGGTTAGAAAATATTATTGTTATGCTTTGGGGTTAGAAAATATTATGATTTTGACATAATTGTTTGACAATAGATTGTGTTACATAATTGTAATATATAGTAAAATAATTATAAAATCTATTTTTTATTTTATTTCTATCCCCTAAACTGTAGGCTAGGGTCTATTACAGAACGTTTCTTTGTGTTTATTAATCGAAAATATTACGTTAGTTCATTGTTTTGGTTAATTCATTTGGTCGGAAAATGCATAAAAATCAGATTTCTTTCACACATAGATACTACGAAGTACAGTGGTGCTACAGCTTTGGTGCCTTATTAAGAAATGCTAAGGCGGATGAATTTTATAAGAATAAAGCACTTTTTTTTATTGGCCGGCACTTTTGCATTTGGACCAAAATGTCCTTTACTAACTTTGTTTGTTTTAAATGTTAGTCTTCGAAAATACTGATCAGACCTGTGGTTTCGTAAAAATCCAAATCTGAATTCACTCAGACTCACCTTGAATTGGTAATAATGTTTAAGTATAAAAGTGAAGAGTGTATTTTGCCAGTCGCAAAAGCAACTCCTCAGGTAATGCTGGTCTGAAAATTTTGTGCTTTCGAATACCGCGGACAGGGACTCATATTCAAAGAACAAGAGCAATTTTTAAGGTACTGCATTTTTAAGGTAATTTTATGGCGTTTGCCTATTTTGAACGATTCTAAGTTAACTTACCTTCATAAGTATGCATTGTAGTTGCCTAATGCTAATGTGATCTATGGAGCCGGCACAGAATTTGCCGAAAAACTTCTTAGCTCCCAGAGCTCGCAGGTCCTGGATCACAAACGGCCATAGGTGGAGCACGTTGTTGCGTGACATACGATCACGTTTCTCTATCACCACCTGTAGGTTTCGCAAATAGAATTCATACTAACGGCTTTATTAAATTATTTATACAGTGTTTTGTCTTTTTCACTCGAACTGAAAGTCACATTGGAATGACGTGAACAGAACTATGTGTTACTAAGGGTATAACGCATAAACAGAGTTCGACGATATATATTATATTTTTTGGGCTCTATATATCAAATAATAAAATATTAATCACTTGGTTTCCATAGCCATAAGTGCAAGATGAATTTTAAGTGGTAAACATTTGAAAATACCATTATCTTAACATGCAAGTTTTCGATTCAAAAAAGAAAACCTTTAAAATGCCCTGATTTATATGTATGATTTTCAAAACGTCGAAGTAAGTAATACACATCTTATTAAAATTTGAAAGGTAATTATTTTGCATCCTTTGAGATAGCACAATCCGCACCTATGCGGCACCGTGTCACGTACTTGGCGTATGTAATTTAAGTAACTAAATACATAATGATAAGTATTTTATTTCCTGAAATTAACACCGTATCACATTTCGGACGCGTCCAACCGACGCGTCGAGTTGAGTAACAAAAGTAAACGTTCACTTTCGTGTGTATATAATCATATTTGTTAATTTATAATGCCTAGGTTTTTATTTGACACATATATTTATATCGCTTGTAGGCATTCACCGATCGGCAGACGGTTCTAAATTAAAATGCATTATTTTAGGTTCTTAAATTGACCTACAGAAAAAGGGCATACATTCCAGTAAAGAGGACTATTTATAGCTTTATGATGACGATGACGCCATCATCATGGTTTGTCAAGCATTCGAGAACGCCGTAAGAAGGATAGCGGCCCTATCAAAAGGGAACCTTAATACTGGCATAACTAGTCGCGTAATCGAATGTCCTCGGAGTGGCACCCACATTAATTCAATATAATGTGACTACCGCCTTGTTCCAGGATATTTTATACACTTCTGTCATTGTTTATGTGAATTGATGTTCAAACAGAACTGACTTCCATAAGGGGTCATTCAAGTAATAGGTACGCACTAAACGGGGTGTTGGTTTCGCATATTTTTGGACAGCAACAATTTTACTACAAACACATGCACATACTTTCATTGTACTTAAATGCGAATAAAATATTTTGAAAACTTTTGAAGTCGACTTTAACTTAAACAAGTGACACTTCTTGATGGGGAAGACGGAGAATCCTAGTACAGGCTTAGCTCTGTCACGATGGCTAGGGTTCAGACTAGCTGTAGGATCGCAGCACGTCAGAACTAACAAAACTATAGAGCCACAGTCCATATCTGCCGCCTCCATACAAGCGTTAATGGAATCCGTCAAACGGAAAACGGTAAAACAACAATCTCACCACTTTGGCACCGAGCAGCTGGCACTCGATGGCGGCTCTCAGGCCGCACGGTCCGGCGCCTATAACCAGCACTTTACTTGCGGCACTGGCACGACCCTTCGCGTACACCTTGTGGTTAGCGCGAGCATCGAACTTCTTGAATAGAGCCTGCGCCTTCCACGAGCTCGCCAACTTTGTCTGCGTTGTAACAACACCAAATTATATTCAGATACATAAAAGACTTACAGAGTTCGTTTATTCAAGTTAATATTTGATCTACTGCAAATATATAAACTGGAGTCGCCCTTGAAGAGCCTACGGGCAGCAGGGCAACTGCGTAGCAAGTAAAAGGCAATTAATTACAATGACACACACAGCCTTATATAATAATGTGTAATATGCATCTGCCTTTGCATATTCAGTTAAGCACACCAAAATTAAGCACGATAACTATCCTTTTCAAAAAATAGATGCAGGTCTCATATCAATAAAGAGTTCATACTGCTGACTCGAATTCCGCGACAAGAACTGTCAAAGATAACTCGCTTAGCAATACCCCCATGAATCAGACACGCTCGTAGGCATAGACAGGTTCGTACAAACGCATGTCGACTATATTACATAGTGGCTACCGTCACACTCGCAAACTCGTGTATAGCTCAGCGAATTTTTTTTTCGAATATGTACTATGCGCTATTGCTAAATTTTTTTAGTATAAAGTTCTATTCCCTAGTTAATAGCCCTACATCGCAGTGGTTCGGCGTTCGATCTGCAATGCGCGGTAGCAGCTCTTATGAGAGTCATTCATAAGATTGGTGACCAATTTATTTTTTAACTCCACCGCACTACGGAAGGCAATTTAAGCCGTTGATCCTGGCTGCTGCATTCGTTAACATGCACCAGGCCCAATCTGAATGATTTATATTCCGCAGTTTCTACTCGTTTCTGCCCAATACCTACAGCTCAGCAACGGTATATGATAGGTTGATGTTATTAATCAAATTCTAATATTATCTTCGCAGCATCGTCACCGACTGAACACTGCCTTAATTGCATAAATTCAGTTACAATGTGCCACAATGTATTTGATCTCGTGCAAAAGGACGCAGAAACTGCGCCGATGACACTTCCTTGTTAACTTGAGCGTCTCTGCACTAAGCGTTGTTCATCCGATAACCGACCTTAATCAGAAAAGTCAACATCATTGATAAAAGATAATAATAAGCATTCAAAAGTAATTCTACATACAGTAAGCATGTAGGTTTGCCATAATAAGAACGAGTATGCTGTTAAATAAATCAGAAAAATAAAAAAGTGTCATGATGACGCTCAAATGAAATAAACAATATTTTTGCCGACTATTCATAATGTTACATTACATTACATTACGGAACTGAATAACTTAAATTAATTAAATATATAGGCAATTATTGAATAGAATTGTCATGAAACAAATATACAAGAGTTCGCTCATGCAATATTCAAAAACATCTAAAATAACCCGCTCTGTGACAGAGACTTCCTGAGTCAGCGGGCAATATAAAGGTAGCTGATTCACGCCAGTTTCGGCATTTAGGCTAATGGAAATCTAGTTTTATAAATACAAAAGATCAGACATAAAAACAGTGTACAGGTTGAATCTAATTTTAAGAATAAATAAGGAGATCGATTGCGATGTGGAAGTTAAACAACATTCGCAAGGGCCAGACTTTATAAAAGGCCGGTTAAGGTCGGTTGTAAGATGGGTGTCCAAAAATTTAAATACAAGCTCCCTCACGCTTCGTGAGGCAAGTTAAGCCACTGGCACCGGCTGTATTTGCTGTTGTTAACACCTACCAAACCCGCACTATGGTGGGATCATGCACGGTCCGTTATTCCTCTTCGATTCGATTCCACCTATAGAGGAAGCCCGTGCCCGTGCAATGAAAACACAAATATGTGACGGTGATGACTGAAGATGTTAATGATTATGAATTTCTCAGCAGCCATAATTATTATGACATCTTCAAAAATTACAGTTATACGGCCACGTAACATGGTCATACGGTTATTGTGACCCGGAGAGAGCAATGCTTGAAGTATCTCTACATGTTCGAATGAGGAGGTCCGAATAAGCAAAGTATTCGGAGGACTGCTCACCTTCTAGTGGCAATTAAGGACCGGAAAGAATCGATGCCTGGCATATATTGCTTATTAATGAGGCCTTTAGAATATTATGTGATCTCAGCTGACTTCATCGCATACGTTCCCGTATAGCCTCATAATTAACCTCTTATTGTTATAGATGTTGGAAAAAATTATTCTGTCTGAAAGATTATAATGCTAACTTTTCGTTTCGCCCACGCGAATGACATGATGTTTCATAATAATTCGTTAGCTAAGTTCTGTTTCATAATAGCTATAAGGGTGAAATTTGGTTCGCCTCGATTCGTCCAGTTAAGCTGTGCGTTAACAGTCAATTACTTTTACCTAATGTAATAAACAATAGCTGTTTTCCCGCGACATCGTCCATGTAAATTATGACGTGGCATCCCGCAGTTAAAAGAATTTTCATGATCGAATCAATATTACCTAAGATTACCCCCTACGAACAAACAAAGTTGAAAACTTTAGCTCTTTATAATATTATTATATATAAAAAATCCTAAAACCATCGACAGTAATTCATTACGTTCGCCTTTTGCTAATTAACACATCAATCTAATCGCATCTATAGATAAGTGACAGATATCGCCTAACTGCAATGTTTAAAGCCGATCGATAACACCAAAACATAACAATGTACAATCGAAACATAACATCATTACAAATAACCAATTTTTTCTATCACAGTCTAAAGCAATTATATTGTGGTTTATGTTAAAACTACCAGAGGTATGATCCGTTGGTTCGGGCATATGGAAAAGAATGCTGGATAAAAGAATCGATATAGTATGCGACATTGTAACGTTTTAGAAATCGCGGTAGGTCAAAACACACCTTTCATGATCAAATCGATCGCATGCTATCGGAAGTTATTGTCAAAGCTATTCATGGAAAATAGTCATCAATATGGGGACAGTCGTAACTGAAGGTATCAATAGACCTCGTAGTTGTGCCTCGGCCTGATGAATTTTCAAGCATTGTTCTTTTAAATATTTAACATTATATTATGTTAATAATTAACACACAAAATATAATAAAGCCTTTGTGTTTTGGAAATCCGAAGCAATGAATGCACAGCCGCTTACACCTGCAAGCATGACAAACTCGAGAAACGCTTTATCTACACTCATTTGTCAGTTTCTCGGGTCGAGAGTGAGATATAGTATGGGCGCACCCGACAAAAGTGACATTTGAGTGTAGACAAAACTTTCTCGAGTTCGTCATGCTACGCGCGCAGAGACTAACTCATCTCGAGTCTGGACAGTTGTCATTTCTTTAGTTTCCATTAAATATCCTGTTATTTTGTTACATTAATTTATATATCTTACAGCAATATTAGATGTTTCTCAGCAGGCATACAATAATTACGATTACAATGAGTGATGTCACAATTTAAATCATAGTCCGCTTTAGCCAAAAAAAATAGTAGTTTAATAGCACATTCGCATAGCAATCAAGCAAACAATATAATTGAATCAATTTTTCGCAACCATCTCAGTACCCGCAATAGAAATGTATGCGGTTTAAAAAATAAGGCCGTTTCGTGCTCACGTGTTCCCATGGAAACTTGGAGGTAAATGCATATTACAATGTACATTTGATAATTCATGTCCTTATTCGGATATGATGAATGATATACATTTGCCGCTAATACAAAAAAGAACTGGATAAATGTCTTTCATAGTAAAAAAACATATATCACAATTAAATAAGTTTAGGTACAGATATACAGTTTAATTAGTTATCAACAATTAATAATATTAGAACTCTATTTTTTCTCCGTTTAGCCGCTTTTAAAGGGTTCTTATTAAACTAAGCACGCTTTACAGCATGAATTAAACGATATCGATATAAAAGATTATTTTTAAATATTTGTCGATGATTCAATCTGTTCGCCTTGTACTCGTCGTTTAAATTCACAGATACGAATAACTTTCAGCTGCGAATATAGAACACAGTAGCAATTTTTCAAAACGTGAATTAGAGATAGAAAAACCAAATCAACGAATCAATTTATGGGGGACCCACTATACGTACATACAACATTTCATATTTATTTATTTATATATACCACTTACATAAACGAGGTTTCACATTCACGTATAGAGTTCATCATCATAGATATTTGAAACACTGGCAATTATAAAGAGTAACAATCAAAAGAATATATATATATATATATATATATATATATATATTGATATATACTCTCTAATTCTATAATTTTTTGAATTTGCTTCAATATTATATTTTTAAGACTGGAAGCCTAAAAATGTGTATAAAGAAATTTTATTGAATTGTTTTTAAGACAGTGATTATATTTAGTTATTTTAATATCGTGTACTATTTGGACTAAAGAAATTGTGTAAATTTATTTAAAAAAAATATTTTCGTCATAGCTACTGCCATAAATTTCAAAAGTAACAACTGTTTAGCTCACCAGTCGAAAGTAACAGTAATTACAATGAAACACTAAAGATCTAATATAAGATACGTTAAGAGTAAAAATGCACTTTGGCGAAGAATAATTAGCTGTTCTTATGCACCTTCTAATTTAATTGCTGGATATCTCCGACATTATTAATTCGATAATTAGTAACCGGCCGGTGAACAGAATAGAAACATACGAGACGAGACGCAACACTCACAATTATACAAATGTTAACCGATAGGGTTGTCTATCTATTTTTCCGTCTGTGCCAACGACGTAAATCATATCACAATATAAACAATCTGAAGTAAAGGCAGTTATATTCACTACTGTAGAATCTACGATCAGTGGTGGAAGAATAAGGAGAGAACTGTAAGAATATTTATAAATGCATTCTAATAAATTCAATAGGATAGGCTTAAACGAAGCTACCGTGTCAGTAGACCGAATCATTTAATCTGTACTTAGCTATAAAAAAGAGCTTGAGAACTCTACTTTTATCAAATAGATTCTATGAGACATTATGTCAACTGCGTATGATGTAACTTCCCGTAAGTGAAAAAAATTATAAAAGCGGTTCAATAGTTTTGTAGCCTATTCGATGTAAACATAAAAACAGAAA